CCCCCCTCTTTTGCTACCTCCTCTGGGCTCCTGACTCTTTCTGTAGCCTCTCTACTGCTACTCCTTGGCTCATTCTTACTACTGTCTCCAAGCCACGCCCCTGATCTTATGGTAGATAAGATCTAACTCCTAGCCTTCTCGGACAAGGGCTAAAAAAATCTCGGAGTTTCCGTGTGCAAGTTGTGCACTTTAAAGATCCACAATTTGTGGTAATAAAATCGATTACACCAGTGCAAAATTCAAAATTAATTCTTGCCAATCTGAAAATGCGTCAGGCGTTTTGCATGCTAATAATAATGGCCTGACGCAGTTGCGAGCTCCGTCAAATGCTTACCAAAGTAACAAAACAAAACAAAATGAAACCAACAAAAACAAAAAAATGAAAAAAGAAATCTCTGGGTACACCAGCATGAGAAGCGAGTGGAAGAGTGCACACCATAGACAGGGCACTGCCATCATCGTTAAATGAAGGGCAATGTATTCGTTGTGTGCCCTATGCAAGCTCTCTAAATAGTGGGTTTAAATAGTTTACTGCAAGTTTAGTGTGTTCGGATCGTTTTATCTCAACAATCAAATTCGTACTAATTAAAGTAGGAAAGTTTTTGATTTGATACATCTTTGGCGTCTAAAGCTAAATAATTTTTATAATCAGGAATGGAGCTACTGACAATTTATAACACGTTAAATACAATGGATAGAGCAATATACGAGTACAGGAAAACCGAAATACCTACAGAGAAACACACAGGCACAAACAATGCTACTGCTGCTGTTCCTACCCGCTATCATCATTATCTTTATCATTATTATTTTTGTTGAAGTTATTATTATTATTATCATCATTATCATTATTAGGTTATTATTATCATTATTAGTTTATTACTATCATTACTACTTTATATTACTTTTACTATTTTTACTATTACGATTGATCTGATTATTATTGCATTATTTTTATCATTATCAATCACCATTATTATTATCATCATATTATTGTTATAATTGTTATACTAATGCATATACTTACTATCATCATCATCATCATCATCATCATCATCATCATCATCATCATCATCATTGTATAAAGAAGGTATTAAAACAGTTAAGACCTTGTTGTATTTCCCATCATCATCATCATTATCATTATCATCATCATCATCATCATCACCATCACCATCATCATCATCATCATCATCATCATC